AAAAAAAAAAAGAAGATCTTAAAGCTCAATGTTAAGATGGCCCTTGGCAACAGAGGAATAAACTGAATGCAATGGAGGATGTATAAACAAACAAGAACAACATGCACTTTAAATGCTCTGAGGCCTTGGGTCAGGAGCACTGGTCTGAAAACTCATACCACCACATTCAGCAAGACGTTTCAACACCCTGGGTTAATACAAACTTTGTAAAAAGACTCACAGCCCCTAAGCTTTTCCTTTTACCCTCTGTGACTCTCAAAGTACAACTGGAGACTTATCTAATTCCTCATGTAGGCAGCCTGGTGTCATTTGCACATCCTTTGTGCAAACATCTCATGCAATTGATATACCTGTAAAGTATTATACCTGTAAACTCTAAACACTGCCCAGGCAGGAGAATTCTTGGTCAGAACCTAATAAGATAAATGAGGATGTACTTAACATTATCTCTGAAAAAGAGTAAAAAAAAAACGTTTTAGAAATGGATAGATGTTTGTGAGGGAGTGGAAGAACCTGAGAGGGGGTTGAGATGGGGACACACATGACTATCACGGATCAAGTCAAGTAACACAAGGAACGCAAAGCAGGGCCAGATTATACGGAGAAAACAAGAAACCAACAAGGCTGAGATTACACTTGGTAGGATGGGAAAGGAAGACAGAACATCAGCATGGTGAAAGTCATACAAAAAGAGTGGTTCAAGGAAACCCCAGTGTTCCAGGCATGCAGTGATAGGGGTCCCAGGAATAGAAGAATCTGGAAATGGAATGGGAAGGAGTAACTGCAAAGTAACACCCGGAAAGATATTTACAAGACAGATATTATCTTGAGGGAAAAAGGACAACAGTTTCTCCTCTTACTTTGAATCAAAGATATTAAAAAAGGCTCTAATACTGTATTCAGCGTGACATATGTACACTGCATCCTCTAACACCCATGCCATTACACTATGGAAATGGCATAGGTTTTGGAAGCAGATACCATACATCTGTACCTGATAGGAAACAAGGCCAAGAGTGACTTTGGCCTTGGTGTTGGCTGGTAAAGTGATTGCAGGTGCTCAGGAAGAGTTTTAAAACTCTCTAAACTTTGCACATGTTCTCTGAATTATCATGTGAAATTTCAGAGTCTCTTTTAAGTATGAAGCATTCTTAACTTGGGCCACTTTTTGGATTATTTTCTCCAGGAAAGTGGGTGTGGTAATGAGCATGAGAACTACCTAGGACACCTAGCTTGACTAAGAACTGCCTGGTACAAGGCCTCAGGCCAGACAGTGTAAGACCAGTCTGTATCTGAGCCTCAAGCAAGCATACCCTTGCCTTTAGAGCTGTTTTACCTAGGAATGTAAGATTTGTGCGGTATCACTCAAAGTGGGTTCCCTTGCAGATCAGCAAACTGCTTGTTACTGGTCTGTAAGGAGGTTAATACAGAAATTGACATTTCTATAGCAATAAATTTAACTCTGTTGAATCTAAATAATAGAACTGAGAAAAATGGAGCAAGTAATTTGTAAGTATTTTTAAATGTATTTTTCTATCCATCTATAACTCATTTTTATTGTACTTCAGAGCACACCTTATCAAAGAGGAAAGCTATCATTCAACAGAGATAGCTTGAGAAAGACTGATTTGGGGGTCAAAGAGTACAGTGTGGACTTCTAGGAATGGAGGCAGAAAGGCCTGGATTTATTCTAGGTCTTCAGGCACAGGAACAGAAGGATGCCCTGTGATTCAGCCATGATGGATCTCCGTGCTCAGGAGACTCAACTGGATTCAATACCTCATTAGCAAAATGGATGTGAGTTTTACTCAAGAGTGAATATTTGTTCCTTTGAGAGCCAGTGTCAGGAGTTGGCTGCTGGTCAAGAATTCAGGACTTTGTAATCTTGGCCACGATTTTTTTCATATTGGCATGAATAGTGACCTAGTGAAAATTACCTCTTAGAGCCTCAGATTTCTCACCTGAAAAATGTAGAAAATGTTGCATTCTTCCTAGGGGTGCCGTGATGATTAAAGATAGGTGAAAGTAAACATGCTAGTATTTATAAGAAGCTTGATAAATATTCGTTTTCTGTTGACTTCCACAAGTTAACTAATTCATGTTGGCTGTTATGGTACACCCATTGTTTTTGATGGGTTCCAATGTTATTGTTGCTGTCTTTGTTTTTGTTTTCTTTTTCTTTGCCATCATAAATCAAAGGTTAGAAACCATGAAATTCACAACCCGTTCCAATCTAGCTTTAATCTCTACTTTCACATTAAATGTCTCTCAACTGCAGTTAATAAGGTCAACACATCTGAGTGCCATATTTCAGTTCTTACCCTATCTAACCTCTAACAGCATCCAGAACAACCGATCTCACTTCCTCCCTCTGGAAACTTGGCTTCAGTGACACCATATACTCACCGCTTTACTGCTAATGCTGACTGAGTCTCCCGGGGAGAACCTCCGTTACCCAAGCATTAAATGTCTCAAGGCTCAGTCCTACTCTGGTGGACTGGATTGCTCTATTTTTATTCTCAATTCTTCATGCCCCACCTGAGCCACAGTTTCCCTTTGACTTTGAGCTTGACCACGACACTTGATTTGATACATGGAACGTTAGAGGACATGACACAAACAGAAGCTTTAAGAGGTTGCTCCCTCATACTCATGTGAGAGAGAATATGCCTGGGTAGAGCTGCTAGTCCAGGAAGAATGAAGATACGTGTGGAGCAGGGCTAAACTCAAGAGGCAGCCTGAAGCCAAGCCCAGCCAATCCAGCAGAGCTCAATTCAGCGGCAGCCCATTTGTACACTCAGAAATGAAAAATAAATGTCTTTAGTTGTAAGCCACTGTGATTTTGAGGTTATCTGTTTCACAACAAAAACTGACTAATGATATACTCACTCTACACTCTCTCCCCAGCCTCTTATCTGAGCCCCAAATCTATATTCTATTGCCGCCTCTTCAATATCTCTACTCGTATGTGTCCAAAGCCTTAAACTCAGCATGTCCAAATTGGAACTTGATTCTTTTCCTCTGTCCTCCTTTATTAAAAGGCTACACTATACATCCAAATGTACATCCAGAAACTTGTGAAGCCCCTCTTGACTCCCTCTTCTATCCAATGCATCAACATCAAACTCTCCTTCTAACTATTTCTCCACTACATCCAGCTCTCTCCTGCACTAGCAGCAGCCTAGTCCAGGACCATTTTCTCTCATATGAATCTACTTTTCAATTTCTCTTATCTAACTGTTATGTTTTTTTAATTCTCTTTTGTCTCCCCCTCTAATATATTCAATACTCTGCAACAAAGAAAAATTTTTCAAAACAGCAAATCAAATCAAATCACATTCATCTCTGTTGCTACTCCTGCTTAAACATCCCCTTCAATGGCTTCCCAATGCTCTTAGGAATAAGACCAGCATTCATAATGTAGCCCGCCAGGCTGTAGGTAGTCTTTCCTCTGTCTTCAGGCTCAACTCCTTGCACATCTCCTCCTATGCTCTGTACCCTAGGAAAACCAGTCTTCTTTGAACTTGTTAAGCTTCTCCTGCCCATTACAGAAAATGTGCATCGCAGTTAACCCTGCTGAAACACGCTCTTCCAAATCAATTTAGGACATTTCAATGGCCTGTAAGGCAAATAGGACAAAATATTTGAAATTGGTATAATTTTGTAAAGTCTGAACACGTGATCACCAGAACTATGGTTGAAATGACACACACAGATTTATTCTCACTTAGTATAGACTCAAAGTAGTAAAATATACCCCTCATACGCTTCTTCCTGTTAGCTTTCTTCAGGAGCTTTGTAAAATGTCTGATACTTTTTTTCTGTTTACTACAAAGAGGCAGTGTTTCTCAGGGACTACTATCTGAGCTTTGGAATCATTTTACTTTCAAGACTCTGTGATCCCGACCTTGTTCTATCCTATGAGAGCTAAATTCCCAGACCTCTCTGGGCCCTGAATCCCTTATGTCTGATAGTAAGAAATGAGCACTCCCTTCCACACTGAGCTGTTTTGCTGAGTGAGATATATATTTATGAATACACCCCACTTCTCTCCTTGTGTCATTCCATGAATATGTATTTCTTGGGCTACATATTGCATGATAGATTGGTAACCTTATAGCAGATCCCACATCATAGGAAACATTTAAAAAAAGAAAAAAAAAAGGTTTCAGGAAGAAAAAAAGCATTCAACTCAGCTTCATACGCCTTCCTGGATAATGAGGCCCCAAAAGGCTGCCCGGGTTTTATGCCCAGACTTCAAACCTAGCAGCCCATTTCCTTATTGAAGCAGATTCTGCTTCTCTGATATTTTAACTTCTGAGATCTGTATTTGTTTAGTTAACTCAACCATTTCTCCCTGGGCATACGCTCACCTCAGGCTATGCCACTGTTGTCCTCACACTGGGAATAAATGCAGCTTAGTGACCAACAAAATGGATGTTGGTGCATGAAAATATATACGGAAGAAAGAGGCAAACAGTCCAGTTTCAAATATTAGAAAGTATCTATACAAACATGATTATCTACTAAGAAGCTTATACTCTAGTACTCTGACAATGTCTTTCCTACCATCAGATGGACTCACACAAGCTCTGTCACTATACTACTTTCCAGGGTCGTGAATATTCCTAGCAGCTTAGATGTACTTTCCAAAATACTAACACCACCAGCATAATGAATGCTTAAAAAAAAATTCTGATACTCTCTGTTGAATTTATTTTGGAGACCAGGTCTTTTGAAAGAAAATAATTGGTTTTTGCTCCAGGAGCCTGGGACCTGTGCTCTGTGTTTATGTATGTGTGTGATGTTTGGAAGAAGGAAGAAGAATCTCATAGAACCATTTCAGGGCAAAACGCGTATCAATACAGGCACAGCTCTGAGTGTTAGTGGGGTTGGCACTATTCCCCAAAACTTGCTCTTGGAAACACTATCCTACAATTGTATCATCAAAAGAGTATGCGTTTCTGTTAAAACTAGGTTTAAATAAGTATATGACCAACCTGCAAATATTGTTGACCGAGTCTTCTGGACAATGATGGTGGCATTTACAACGCAAGATCTTTGGACGAGGTGTGGGGGCTGTGCTCTCACCGTCCTCTTTCTTGGTGCCCACATTTAACTTTCCTGAACTTCGCAAAAGCATGTTACCAAGGAAGTTTGCTGAAAAGAAGAAAGAATAAGAGCTTAAGTATTTTCCTAAAGTCTTTTGTCTAAGGAATAATGTCACATCAAACAAAATATTAAGTATATATGATAAAAGATTTAAACAAAACGGATATTTTGATGTTTTTGATACTAAAAATTATACTTTCCATAAATAGTGGATTATATAGTTATAGTAGATGACTATATATATAGTCATCTATATATAGAGAGAGTCATCTATATATATATATATATATAGTCAACTATATATATAGTAGATAACTATATGTCATATTAGAATATAGAAATTCTCATAATTCTTTCAGGATAGTATTTATACATAAAATCATAATAGTTTTATTTCACTGAGTGCAAGGAGCTCAATGAGACACTATTATTTAGATTATCTCTATTATGTATGGGAATATGTGGGTAAATATTATCATTCCCATTTTCAGATGACAAAATTAAGATTCAAGGTTTAGGTGATCTTCACACAGGTGATAAATGATGAAGCCAGCATTTAAACCCAGATTGTTTGGGTCCAAAACTCTCTTTCTAGCAGTCTCTTTATTTTAGGGGTCTCTTTACTTCAGGTATATCATAGAAATTATTTGAAATATTTAATCTGAAAAAATGGGTAGGAAGATGAAAACTTAGTTATCATTAAGTTATATTTCAAAAGATACACCCTCCCCACCAGCTTTTACATGCAAAAGTGCCTACCTACGTATATATTAGTAGTGATGGTTCTACGTCTTCGATGGATAACACTAGAGTAGAACATAAACCCCAGATAAATTTTTTGGGTTCAAAATTAAGCTTTATTTGGATAACTTTATAAATAATCTCATTGGTTCTCATTTTCTTACCCATAAAATGGGACAATTATAAACACCTACCTCATGTCAAGAGCTTACAATGTATATGTTACATAGCAATACTTGATGTTAGCTAATATTATTAGGACATCATTTTCTTTTTACATTTTATGATAGTAAGACAATGTTTCATTAACATAGGGTGATATATCACTAAGATAGTTTTCATATTTCCCTTCCTTACCACTACTCGTGGAAAGGAATGATACCCTAGAAGGGGGCATGAATTAATACCTATTGTGTTTCTAGCATTGTGGTAAAAGCTCTCAAACATGCTTTGCCACTGTACAAATTGTCACCCTGAGCAATGTTTGATTTAAAATCTCTCTCACAACACACCCAGCTTGCCTACAATTAAATGGAATTTCAACAAAACTATTATGTAAAAGATTGTTGGGCTAAAAGACTCTTGGTCAAAGTGTTATAGACACAATAGATGTGTACAGTGTGCATGTGTTATTTATACGCAAATAGATGCCTCAGGCCATTGGTTGCATCAGACAGTGATAATTTTAGAAAAAGATCTGTGATAACTTTTCATGATTTTCTGCATGTTAAGCTCATCAGTTGAATTCTGGTTCTCAATATTACTAACTTTATGACCCGAATTACCTCAAAGTAACACAAAGTGATGAAAATATATTTAAAACTTATATCCTGGTTCCTTCCATACCACATCCTTTCTCTTTGAAGTTTTGAATAAAATAATAAAAATTTATATATTATGTGTATGTCTACTTAGCAGATATGTATTGGGTGCCTGCCCTGTTCCAGCACAGCCTGTAAGTAGGATAAATTAAATATATACAGAATTTACCATTTGGTGGGAAAAGTTATTAAATGAAATGTTTACACAAAATGGTCTACATTAGAAAGGAAACATCCTCATACTATTGGAAATAAGATGTCATTTTGTAAGAAATATTTTAAAGGAGTCATGATTTTCTCACATTTTAAATTTATTTAAATTACAAAATATAAAATTCAGCTGTAAGTATGTTCTTTGCAGGTCAGTCGAGTGGCGTGTTGGTTAAGAGTTGGCTTCAGACGCCACCTCTGAGCAGCAGGGCCACAGTTTGGATCCCACATGAGGGCCAGTGACACTGCCCTCTGCAGCTAAGATGGTGAACAACAGCTCGACCTGGAGCTGGGCTGCCGTGAGTCGCCAGAGACGGCGTAGGCTGCAGCGGGGCTGCAGTGGGCTGCCATAAGTTACTGTGAGAGACCGGCAGTCTGTGTGAGCTGCCAAGAGCCGCCGTGAGCAGCCTTCCAGAGGCCGACGACCGATCTGCCTCTCCCAGGAAGAGCACAATGATAATACCAACATGGGCCGTGAAGCAACGTCCACCACAACTAGACTGAAGAACAAAAGGATAGCAACTTGTCTGTTCCCCTTCCCCGATTCCCCAACACTTCTCCTCCCCCAATTTCCCAATTAAATCTTAAAAAAAACAAAAACATTCTTTGCAATATTGCTTATAACAAACAATATTTAAAACAATAGGAGATAAGTTAGATCTCAAAAATGGCATTCTTATTTAGTCATTAAATTACTGATGTGGAAGTATATTTATTGACAAGAAAGAATATTAAAATATAATTTTTGTTGGAAAGTGTACATTTATATGGTATTTTAATTAGGAAAGCCCACTCAATAACAGGAAAAGGGGCTAAGGAACTGAACTACAATATAAAAGAGATCAAGAGAAGACCCTAGCAATAAACACCTGGAAAGTAGAAGGACCTTAAGAAACTGATTTAACAAAGCCAAGAATGCAGATCCTAAGGCAAAGGTGGAGAGAAGCCAAGAAGCAAAATAATTTCACCACTCATCCCCAAAAGGCTCCAGAGGGGGACCACAAGTTACAATCCTTTCAGAAACGAGAGTAAGGGATTATTGAAGACAGAAGACTTAAATCTATTTTAGAAGATGTGAGAACTTCAGCTACCCTTTCACAGTCCCCACAGGCTAGTAAACCTCCCTTCCCCACCCCTGCAGAAGACTGGAAGGATGAATCTGATATGTACATCACTGAGATGCTTTCCTTGTTTACCTTTTTTACCACCAAGGTGAAGGACTATAGGAAACGGAGCATAAAGGCGGGCGGGGGTACCGCATTACTACTCTGTGAATATTTACACTGGATATTGACTCCTTCCATTCTCCCCCACCCCCTGTAGGGCTTCCAGAACTCCATGCAGCCTGGTTTATGCTTTCTTTACTCAGGAATCTGACCAGGTCATGGAACAGCTAAAATATCTAAAGGTAGGGATACTGAGAATTCTCAGTGAAACAGCCCTACAGTGAGGCCCACTGGTGATAAGTTCTTCCCATGAGCACAGAGCTTCCAATCAGCTTTCACAGCACTTCATTCTCTTATACCTAAGCCCCTAATTCACAGTCAAGAGATATATGAAGAAAGCCTCAGACATCAAAGGCCAAGAACAAAACAAATACACAGACAAAAGCCCCTTGAAAGAAACATTATATGAAAGTAAATAAGACCTTATAAATTACTATTAATATATTCTCAGCTTTATAAAAATATATTACATCAATGAAACAAGAACATGTTTCTGTAAAAAGGGGAATGACAAGGAACTCTAAAAATATGATTGCATAAATGAAAATCTCAGCAGGGAAGCTGAAAGATAAAGATTAGGAAATCTCTCATAATGTAGGGAAAAACACAGAGATGAAAAAGTTAAGTAAATTAAATCATCAATCCAGGAAATTTAACATCTGAAAAATAATAGTTCTAGAAAGAGAGACTTGAGAAAATAGAGGGGAGAAAAAAAATCAAATAAACAAATCATGCAAGATTCCCATAACCAAAACTCATGATTTTCTAGTTTGGAAGGGCCCATAGAGTACACGCATAGACCCATACCAAGGTATGCTGTGTAAAAGTTTATTAGAGGGCAAAAGAGACCCTAAGTTTTATATATAGAGAGAGCAAGAGTGAGAGAGAAAGCAATATCTGGGCAAATTATAAATCAAATTTGAGGGTAGGTAAAAAATATTTTAAGATTTTTAAGGTCTCAAACATTTACCTCTCATGCACCTTCCTCAGAAAATTATTGGAGGAAATGCTCCACCCAAAGGAAGGTATGAATAAGAAAATGAAATATATTCCTGCTAATAGAAGACCCAACCCAGGAGACAGGTGAAGCACACTCTCAAGATAATGGTACAGGTAGATCACTAAGGTGAGAAGTATGCACTGGACCTAAGAAACAACCAGACCTGTTTGAAGGCAAGTCAAAACACTTTAGGAGAGAGATCTCCAAGAAGTTGAAATGAATAGAATGACTCATATATATTTTACATTTAAACTGATTGAGAGTTCAGAAATGACTTAGTGATAGGAACATAGAAAACCAAGGAAAACAAATAACATTTAAACTTCTAATATATAAAGGATGGAGGCTAGAAATGTGTATATGTGTATGTAGTGGGGGTGAGGGCCATAAAAGAAAGCTAAATCTTCATCTTCAATAGTGGGAAGTCAAAAATGATGCCTAACATTGAACAATCAAGAGGTGGCAGTACAATTATTTATTTAGGGATACGGGGGAAAATACCAAAAGAAAGAATGCTGCTAGACATTGATGTAGTTGCTATTGGAGAGAGATAAGTCGGGAGGACGCTTATTATTTTTTTTAATAAGCCTCTTTACGTTAAAACAAAAAATAGCAAGTTATAAAATAACATCTTATGATGATATCATTGTAGCTTGTGTGTGCAGTGTGTGTGTGTGTGTGTGTGGAGGTAAATGTCTAGAAAACCCACATCTATAAGGGTATTGATGAAATATATAAAGACCCTAATTTTTGAAGAAAAATATAATTATCTTTGTCAGGGAATATTGAGTTTTGCATCATGAAATGTTCAGTTTGCATTCTATAAGGACTATAATTCCTATTTCTACATCAACATGGATCTATGGAGTAGCAATAAACAGATAACAGCTGGAGCTATTTAAAAACATTTGCAAATTGCTCCTCAGTTTAAAATAGGGAAGTAATTCGTCTCATATCCTGATGTGGAATGAAGTGTATTAATGAACAAAGAACCGGGGGAAAAAAATCTAACCAAGGAAAAGAAACTTTCCTAGCCAATCTTCATGTTGG